GTATAGGATTTAGTGTGTCAATAGTAAACCGATGTAATCTTCATTTGAGTAGACTTTCGTGCCACATTCTAAAACCCATAAAATTCTCTTCATTTGTAGGCTTCGTGTCGTCATACTATTTCCTACACCATACACTAGACCTCGCGACCAAGATTGACGCGTATTCTTGGGGTGTTTCCATAATTTCCACTAGCTCTGTGTGGGATAACGCGCGCGCGCGCTGAAAGAAGCGCCCGAAAATGTCGAAACCCCGGGGATTTTGTCAAAATGTCCCCGCCTGGGGACATATAAGGCCCATCCTCCTCTCCCCCCCCCGCGCGACCAAGGTTGCAGCGTAGCCCAGGGGTGTTCCGACGTTTCCAGATGGAGGGCCCCTTGAAACGATGTACATAAAGTAGTTCCCATCATGTGCTAAAACTCGAGCTTTCAATTGGACAACGGCCCTACGTTGGGCAGCCGGTTGGCGTGGTCGTTGCTTACACACGTACGGACCCAAGCATGATGGATAGACCAGCGGTTTATCTGTAAGGCACATAGCTAAGCAACCGCGCATCAGTCAAGGGGCGATTCCGCGCAACGGAATGACGGCGACGAAACAACGAGCACGGCGAAAGAAGCAGGTGGCTCGCTAGGAGAGATAACATAATCAAGGGAGCGAGACGAGACAGCACGCTACATACATAATCCCAGGGAAATGAATGTCCAACGACAGCATTCCCTCCATCTGGACACGGTTGTGTCTGGGTTACTTTTAACCGCGAGCTTCGGATCCACTTTGTCCCCTCCACCACTTCGAGAGCCTACCACCGGACGGGCATTCATTGCCCCGCTTGCCCGAATATTCCGTTCTCTCATCCGATTCATTATTTCTGCTCCGTCAGGTTATGCATATCGTGCGGTTCTCTTTTCGGATGGACCCCTTTAGTTGATCGATCGATGGTGTTCCTTGAAAAAAGTACAGCTTGTGGTTGCTCGGTGTGCACGCCCGGCGGGACAGTCAGCTATCGGGTTCACGGGTGTATTTTTTCGTACAACCATACATACTGTTGTCACTTGGTTTTTCCAACTAATCCCTACCGCCATGTAGGCCATTGCTGCCGAGAGCCAGCCCCGTATCAACCTCCCCATTGGAGTACCCGAGAAACGTGGTTTTCCCCCGCCCCCACCCCCGCCCCCACACGCTTCACTAAACAATACGCTGCTTGCACTTCTTAAAATCTTCTTAGGCTTATACGTTGCACTCTTTCGCATATGGGCCGCGCCGACACGAAAAGGCGGCGGACTCCCTTGGCCCTCTCACTTTCCCACCAAAGCAAGCTGTCTCCCTGCTTTGGTTTCATCTCTTCAACAAATTTGATACCTGACGTAAAACATAGCAATAACAATCCCGAACAACGACTCCCTCCTGACGCAAGAGAGAAATGTAGCCCGTCAGACACGCGGGTGGCGAGAAGAAAAGAAGAGACTGTCTTCAAACACTCTCCTCGTCCAAAAGACAAAAATTCAACATTCTCTCGTCGGACAAAAAACACCCTTTGGTCTCTCTCTATCGCTCCCCCCCCCACCCCGCCCCCTGAGAAAGAGCTGGTGTCGGATAGTGGAGA